ATGTTATATAATGGAAGGTTAAAAAAAAAACACCTGTTCTTCATTGTTCCAAACAGGAGGATACAGAATGACGGATTTGACTCACAAAACTCAGAATCTGATTAAATAACAGAAAGAAAAGCCATAACAGAAGGAACAGTTTTACAATGGAAACAATCCTGTTTTGGTCCCCACGATATAAAAAGAAAATGTTGAGACACTAGAAAGAGTGCAGAGAAGAACAACAAAAATGATCAGGGGGCTGGAGGCTAAAACATATAATGAACAGTTGCTGGAATTGGGTATGTCTAGTTTAATGAAGAGAAGGATGAGGGGTGACATGATAGCAGTGTTCCAATATCTTAGGGGCTGCCACAAAGAAGAGGGAGTCAACCTCTTCTCCAAAGCGCCTGAAGGCAGGACAAGAAGCAATGGATGGAAACTAATCAAAGAGAGAAGCAACCTAGAACTGCCTGAGCAGACGGTTGGGCTAGAAGACCTCTAAGCTCCCTTCCAATTCTGTTATTCTATTCCAATTTCCCAGAGAGGTGATAGACTCCTCTACATTGAATGTCTTCAAACAGCTGATTACCTCTCAGGGAAACCTTAATTTTGATTCCTATACTGAGCAGGGAGTTGAGAATTTGGACACATGATGTGAAGACCTAGCTATCTGATGATCTACCACAAAGTGGATAGATTTACTTAAAGTGGCTAAGGGTCAGAACATCCAAAAGGCCAGATTTAGGACATATGTCATGGGAAAAAAATTATGTGGTCACCAAGTACTTGACAGTACATAATCAATTAATGTTATGATTCCATCATTATGTAAAATCTCTCTCATGCGATTCCATTTAAACAGAGAGGTTTCTAATTTATGATTCTGATAATTCAAACTTCACATTTATGTGCAAAAAAATGTGCTGGTTCGTTCTTTTATATCGTGAAAGTGCAGCCCCAAATAGGTGGCTGTTTATTCTGTAACTTTTCTTGCTCTCACCCTGATGCCTCTGAACTCGGAGCAGTCTTCTTTCAATTGGATAAATGAACATGCAAATGTTTATTTTCTAATCTGCATGGAATAAAGTAAATTAGAAATATATTCAAAAGTATGTGAAATAATAGAAAATACTTGTATTTTAGATTTTAGATTTTGACAGTGGTTTACTTTCCAAGCTTGCAATTTAGTTTCCAAATGTTTTGTTATCAGGCTAAGTAACATCATCGGTAGGACTTTGGTAGAAGTGTCTTGTTCTATTCCTTTTTAGCTTATATATGTCTTGTGTGCTAGTGTGGTCAGTTGGTTGCGTGATTGGCCATTCGTTTGGTGCTATATTTAAATTCTGAGAAGCTGACTGATTCCCTTGTTGATTGGTCAATCAACAATTGGTCAAGAATGTGGCTGCTTAGAGTCTATGAATTGAAGCAGCATGAAAGTCCAAATAAAGAAATAGCCACATACTGTACAGTATATGTTTCAGTTAGAACATTGGTGTTTGGAGAGAGAGGAAGGGGAATAAAATTCTTCAATCTCTCTAACATCTAGTCAGCATCTACTGTCTTTATAAATTCATAAATGCAGCCCAATTCTTGTGCATAAATGTAACCAAAGATCTTACATTTTTATCATGTTTATCTTCTCCATATGCAGGATGTGATGATAGATGTTAGGACTTGAAGATTAATCAGTGAAAATGAATGAATAAATAGCAAATAAATGTTTGTGTAAATAAAATGCTGTTTCACATTATTTGTGGTTAAGATACGATGTTTAACTTTCACATTAATGAGGGTCACTGGTTCATGCAGCTTGAAAAGTTGATGATGATGATTTATTGGGAACACTTAAGAATATTACTAACTGGAGTCTCTGTGCACCAATGTAATCTTCCAGTGAATACTAGTTTTAAAAGTGGAGCTTAGAAACTAATACTGTGGGAAATAGCTCATCATTGTGGCTATATCTTGATTCTGTAAGGGAGGTATTGGGCCACTTAATATCAATTATTAGAGTATTGGAGTATCATTCCTCAAGATCACATGTCCTTAAGTCCTCCTTATGACTTCTGGTTTGGCAATGTTGCAAACAAGATGTTGAACAGTTTATATTTTCAACAAGAATAATGTAACAATAAGAGAAGAATAATTCTGAAAATCAAATTTTGCTGTATGGTTACTATCCATTTTTTAAATATTTACTGCCAAGTAATTGTTGTATTCTAAAAGGATTCAAATAATTTGCTATACAGTAACTAATCTTAAAGTGCAATGTGTTTAAAAATAAATTCAGAAATGGCATTTTGTAAAGTGCTTTTTATTCAGTTTTGTCAATTGCCTAATGAAGTAAGCAAGCTTGGCTAACCTAGAAAAACCATTTTATTCAGTACATAAGGACAAGCATCAATGTTGCTAAAGTGACTAGGTACACACAGATTCTAAAACTGAGCTTGGTTTGCTTTCCAAAAAGTTGGACTAATCTGGTAAATTAACATTAGTTCATCAGCTCACCATTTCTGTTAATATTTTCCATGTTGTTCTCCCTTCTCCCTTTTGACTTTATTGCTGAACAAAGTCCAGTGAAATTTAAGTGAGTTCATTTCCTATTGGATTCAGTGGAAGATAATCAGCTTAATTTTCTTTCATTAAAGGAAAAGAGAGTTAATATCCTATATTTCTGGGAGCAAAGTCCATTAAACTTAATGGGACTTATTTCTCAGTAGACATGAATAGAATTGAACTGTTAATGTGTAATCCCATGCATCTTTTTTGTCAATTGTATTCAGCAATGCACATTTCAGGTTTTGTTGGTTCTGCTCCTTCTTGTTGGTTTTCAAGGAACAAAATGTGCATGTTACATGGCCTGAAAACGTTCAAGGCAAATGTACTCTAGGAAAACAAAAAATAAAGACTATAATTCATAAATGGTGAGGGAACTATAGTGCATTTTGATCATTTAGTTCAATTGAATACTTGTATTTCAATATTTCTTGGAAAAAAAGGGTGTAATGCTTATAAGCTAAAAAAAAAAAACAAAAAACCCTAATGTACTTACTATATCATAGAACAGCTTTGTTACAGTAAAACAGTAGGTGAAAAAATAATTTTAGAAATATTTGTCTAGCGCTTAGAGCACACCAGGTGCATAATCTCTGAATTCATTACAATGGTTAAAGCATAACACTGAAATAGTGCAGTAATAAGAGAATCTTACAGCTTGTTTTCAAAGAGTAGATAAATGTTCATCACTTGGCTGCAATTCTAAGTGATGGCTTCCATATGTAATGGGAATGGAAATGCTCACAGATTTTATTTACGCTTCGTCATCTTAAAAATATACTTTTCATTTTACTCCCTGAAAGGTGACTTGCATACACCTATGAAGTAATCCTTAATAACTATAAAGGAAAATAAAAGTACAGGTATGTATCTTTCAAATATATATGAAATGACTCTAGATATACATAGATTCTAATGAATTTTAAGCAAATTAAGTTCAAGCATGTTTTCCAGTACAAATGTAGATAATTATTTCTTTCAAAATTCTGGTAGGTAACTAGATTGAAAATATATATTCCACAAATTAAAGATACATAAGTTTTTAACCAATTCTTCAAAGAAAATTACCAATTTGCTTTGGTCAGTCCAAGGGCACATATTAATGATCGTCATTCTGACAGCTTTTTTAAATTTGCTCACATTTACTTGGGTGGCCTAATCTGATTTGTTCTTTTTGAGATGACAAAACAACTCTATCATTTAAGCTCAGCAAATCTAAATATCCACTTTCATCTTTTTGCATTCCTTTCCTTCACGCTGACAAATTGTACTATGGTAATCCATGCAGTCTTCAGAACGTGGAACATCAACATTTTCGGTTGGGGCTATAGAGCCAAATAGACCAATTCTGTCATTTCCCGGTAAAAATTCTGTTGCCGCTTGATCACAAGAAATAGCACCTAATGTTTTGACATATTTCATTGATTCTGTACTATCTGGTAATTTGCCTTCAAAAGGAAATACTGCAACATTCACTTCCTTTAAAATGACTTTGTTGTTAATGCATTGTTTTTCACAATGGGCATCTTCATTTTTCTGCCGAATAAGACTCTCTGAGGTAATGAAATGCTCTCCTTTGATGCTTTCTTCAATGTCTGTGAGATTGAAAACCTCTGTGGAAAAGCCGACTTCCGAGTCAGGTATGTAGAGCACCTCTGAATTTACCTCACATCTTTCTAGTCTTTCAAATGTAGATTGGGAGGCAGGATTCTTTTCCTGACCCACTACTGTAAGTGGGACCATCCTCGAATGATGTTCCCTGACTATAGAGTTTGTGATGTGGAAAAGTAGTTTGAAAGCCATTATTATCATTGTTATTGTTGTTGTTATTATTCATAGTACTGTTTTGATTACTCTGCCATTCATCATCATCATCATCATCAGTGTTTGTAACTGGTATAACTTCAGCAACATTAGTTTCATTATTTTCTCCATCTTTCTCCTTGTTAGTACTTTGCACGACCACCTTATCATTGCTTTCACTTGCTTTTTCCTTCTCTGAGTCATTAGCCACATCTGCTCTCTTTTGCATGATTCCATTCTCGTCACTGCATGTCTTTGCTGTCATAACATTAGTAGGTTCCTCTTCCTTAGGCACAGGAGTGGGAGAGGAATGGTTGTCTGAATGTAGATGGCTATTACCATTTGCGAACTGTTGTTGGCTTGTGTCACCCACAAAAAGATTCGTATTAATTCTGTCAGTCTCATATTCAGAAATTTCAGGGGGCCATTTTGGTTTATTTACTGTAACCATGTCACTTGAGAGTGAATTTTTGGGAGTTTCTATAGACGGAGGCCACATAATGTTTAATTTGCCCCTCTCTGTATTCTGTTTTAAATTATCATTCATAGTTTCACAATGGACTTGTGGATTGCCAGCAAGCTGCATATGAGCAGTTGTTTTATTCACTTTTGATATGGATTTATGAACTTCTTTAGCAGGAGCACAACTAATAGGGCCTTTCTGATTTTTGGAAATCCATAATTCTTTATGTTGCTTGTGTCCGAAGCCTTCATCGTAATTTCCTTTGGATTTGAAAAGTTGCTTAAAATGTGGTTTGCAATATATTTTACCATGGAGAGAAGCATAATTTCCTAAGCTGTCAAATCAAAGAAAAAATGTTTTAGAGTATTTTTCAATCATAAACAGTCCAAGAACGTTTTAGCTGTAATTAATTGTAATTGTAGTATTTATAAATATATTTCTCTCTCCCCCCCTCTCTCTCTTTCCATATTATACCAATAAATTAAATAATATTGTTAGATCAATACTTAGTCATATGTTGGATTTAAGCCATGATGAATATTTATGGGATTGCTCAGCATATGATTTAATCTAACTCCAAATTGTGCACTTTTAAGATTGGGCTTTAAATGCTTAATTTCACTCTTCATGAAATAAGTAGCACAGAATAGATCAAAGAAGTCTTTTTCTTAGTGTATTTTAAAGCAAAATATTTTGAAAGTTAGTTATAAATTTGACAGCTGGAGGATCAATTCTGTGTAGCTCCATGATTTTAACAGAATTGCTACATGCTCAACATTTTCTATTCATTGTGGAAATTAAAAAGAAGTTCCAATAGAATAGACTATTTGTAGCTCAGGACTAAAGTATGGGGTCTTTAGTGCTCTCTGAGCTTGGTGGTTTTCTTGCAGATGTTTCATTACCTAACTAGGTAACAACAGTGCTAGAAAGGTGTGGGGTTTGTTCTTATTTTTAATATTAGTGGCTTGCTCTGTCAGTGGGATTAATCTTGGTAGTTCCTTGATTAGGCTGTTTACTGTTAGCTTATTTGTCTGTATTTGTAGCTCCTCGATTGGGTATTGTTTACTTCTTGATTGTTGGTCTAGGGTTAATCATAGTGTTAATTTCTGCTCATTTTTTAAGACAATCATCTGCAATCATCTGCAGTCAGAAGACACAATAAAAACTTCTTAATTTCACAACACATGGACAGAGTCAACCATGGCGTCAACTGGGAAACTGAGCATTCTAGACCAAGCCAAGTCCCCAAACACCAGAGAATTCGTGGAGGCCTGGCACTCAGACAAATCAGCCATCCCATTCAATAGGAAAATCAATTAACCTTACCAAAGCAGACTAACAAGGTAACAGTAAACAACAGCCTAGTGAAGGAAGCACCAAGGACATTCCCACCAATACTGATAGGGCAGGCCACTAGTAAATAAAAATAAGGGCAAACCCCATTCCCTTCAAGCACTGATGACATTACCTAGTTTGATAATGAAATATCTATAAAAAAAACCCCAAGTTTTCTAATGTGTGCAGCAGCAACCAAAAAAGCTAATACAATCCTGGGTTGTATAAACAGAGGCATAGGATCAAGATCACATGAAGTATTATTACTGCTTTATAAAACCCTAGTAAGACCACACCTTGAATACTGCAGCCAATTTTGGTCACCATATCACAAAAAAGATGCTGAGGGTTTGGAAAAAAATCAGAGAAGAGCAACTAAGATGATAAAAGGCCTGGAGACTAAAACATACAAAGAACGGCTGCAGGACTTGGGTTTTGGCTAGTCTAAAGAAAATAAGAAATAGGGGAGACATGATAGCTGTGTTCCAGTATCTGAGGGGCTGCCACAAGGTAGCCAGGTTGTTCACCAAAGCACCGGATGGAAGGACGAGAAACAATGATTGGAAACTGATCAAAGAGAGAAGCAACCTGGAATTAAGGAGAAACTTCCTGACAGTGAGGACAATCAGCCAGTGGAACAGCTTACCCCCAGAAATCCTGTGTGCTCCATCACTAGAGATTTTTAAGAAGAGACTAGACATTTACCTGTCTGAGACGATATCGGTTCTCCTGCTTGAGCAGGGGGCTAGACTAGAAGACCTCCAAAGTCTCTTCCAGATCTATTCCATTCCATTCCATCCCATCCCAGTTCCAGTTCTATTCTATTCTATTCTATTCTATTCTATTCTATTCTATTCTATTCTATTCTATTCTATTCTATTCTATTCCTGGAGGCAAGCTGTTCCGCTGGTTAATTGTCCTCACTGTCAGGAAGTTTCTCCTTAATTACAGGTTGCTTCTCTCTTTGATCAGTTTCCAACCATTGTTTCTCGTCTTTCCCTCGGGTGCTCTGGTGAACAACGTAACCTCCTCTTCCTTGTGGCAGCCCTTCAGATACTGGAATACTGCTATCATGTCTCCCCTATTTCATGCTCTGACAAAGCAGAAGTTAAGTGATCCAACACAGTCTTTCGGGGGATAGAGTTTAGTGGCACCACTAAAAATATTGATTTGTTTTCAACATCTCAAGTGTCATTCATTCATTCAACTGAAATAACATTCATGAATGTTAACATTTTAATTGCTCACACCATCTTACCTTAATTTGCTACCGCAATGGTGACACCGAAAACATGATTTATGGAAAATCTGCTTGTCGGCCACTAGGCACTCCATTGGATAAACTCTCTTTTGACAAAGTAGGCATGTTTCCTTTCCCTGAAGTTGCAGTTTCTGGAAATAAATGAGATGATGTCAGTGCTATATATTGTTATATTTCTTTTCTTCAGGCTATGCACAAAAAGTTGCAATATTATTAAGAAACCTGAGAACCTTCACTCCTAAATAATGAACCCTTAAGCTTCCTGTGAGTCACATTACCATGAAATAAATTCTTTGTTTCGACTAATGCTGGACTTTTATATTTATTTGAAGACACTTTAATATTTTCAATAAAGTGAAGGTAAATGAATGCACGAATGACTCATGCTTTCTTTCTATTTTTACATTTCCGTTGCAATGAAGGCTTGTGACATTTTCCCATTGGAAACACATCCTCTCTGTCTTCCTATTCACAATGGAAATGCTTCTATTTCACTGCAAGTTTGATTATGTACAGGAAGAACAGAAAGCATTTTTAAAGGACTGAATCCACAGTATTGAACAATAATGCAGATTTCTTAAAATGCAATTCACTTTGGGGGAACAAGACCAGTCTTCCATGGACTGGGCTCATGACAACAGCACTGTTGATCTTTTGTGTGGGTAATGAGATTTCTACCCTGTTTATAAATGAATCTGCTGTTTGAGTTTTTTATACCTTCAAGGAAATCGGTTCGTTTTGCACTGACCAAGATTTTATTCTTCTACTCTCCATGGCTGAAGCTGCAGATGGTGGATTTTGAAGGTAATCGGAGATGATGGAGATGAAGAATTTTGAACGTAATCGGAGAGATAGCTTCCAGCACCATTCTACTTTTCAGAGTGCTCCCTGCTATTGTTTGTGAGTACTTTTCCAAGAAGAGCCCTGATCCACAACATCATTTTATTTTTATTTTCTAGAACTCACAGTCTAGACTACATTAGGCTTAGAATTCATTGTCTCCTGGTTGCTAGCTTGGTACCTTAGCCACTAAATCAAACTGGCTATTCCACTTTCCCACAGTGCCTCAGATTAAAATCATGCCAGAGGCACTCTGGGAGATTAAAGCCAGTAGCTAAAATTTTTCACTAAAATCTTGGGGGGGGGGGGGTAGGGGGAAATCAAAGGAAATCCAGAAGAAATTATCTCCAGTTCTCAAAGAAATTTTCCAGTTTTCCCAAGCATGGTTAGGACATAGAGTTTCAGATACACATTTTTATTCTGGCAAAATTCTCTTCAAACCTACTTTCTAGGTGCCAGTTCACAATTTTCAAGAAAAATTTTGTGCCCTGCAGGGAGACCTAATGGGCAGGAGGGAAAAGGAGAAGGGGTAAAATCTTACTTTGTTCCATTTGCAATTTATGAGAGTCATCTGTTATTTTTTTTTTTTACAGAGGTAACCTTACAATTTACAATGGTACTAAAAAATAGCTTTGTGACCAATCCTTTCATTTATGACCATCACAACATTACAGAATAATAGAGTTGGAAGGGACCTTGGAGGCCTTTTAATCCAACCCCCTGCTCAAGCAGGAAACCCTATATTATTTCAGACAAATGATTGTCCAGTCTCTTCTTAAAAACTTCCAGTGGTGGAGCACCCACAACTTTTGGAGCCAAATCATTCCACTGATGTTCTGATTGTCAGGAAGTTTCTCCTCAGTTCTAGGTTGCTTCTCTCTTTGGTCAGTTTCCATCCATTGCTTCCCATCCTGCCTTCAGGTGCTTTGGAGAATAGCTTGACTCCCTCTTCTTTGCTGCAACCCCTGAGATATTGGAACACTGCTATCATGTTAACCCTAGTCCTTCTTTTCATTAAACTAGACATTGTATGCTCATCATTTTTCTGCCTCACAACCAGTTTGTGACAGAGTTAAAATAGAAGCAGAAGTAAAGTCATAAATTGTAGTCATGTGATTTTTTTTTTTTTGTTTAGTGACCACATCTAAGGGAAAATAAGGTCGTTTGCCTGTCACGGTCACATAACTTTTCATTTAGCAACTACCTCATTTAGCAAACAAGTTACTGGTTCCAGTTGTAGTTGCCAAGCAAGGCCTACCTGTACATGATTAGACTTGACCATAGTGTGCAGAAATTCAAACATTCCTACAAATATAACTTCTGTTACCGCTATAATTTAATTATTTTCACTACTCTCAATGCCTTCAGAACAATTTCTGATTGTCCTTTGGTCTTCGGTGTGCAAGTAAAATATTATAACCACCCAATAAATATAATTTATTTCAACTGGTAAATAGCACTTTGGATTGCAATCCACTCTATGTGCAGAGCCTGGAACAATTGTTTCAGTTGTCACACACAAACCCTCACCCCAGTTTAAAAGGCTCTGTTCTAAAAGAAGTGATTCTGTCCTATAAAATGAACAAGTGTTACATAAAAATGGCACTTTTAAAAAATATGCTGCATTTGCTCAAAGGGCCTCATGCAGTTCTACAACAGCAACAACAACAACAACAACACAACCATAGCATATAGGTTTTTAACTTGAGCGAAGCAACACAATTTCTATAAAATATATTTTGTGAGATATTAGTTCTTTTAATTAAAATTCAGGAAAATTATTTTATCAGTAAAATTGAAATATAGCTTTTACCTTGGGAGACCACACTTCAAACCCTCAGTATTGGTTAGCCACATGCCCAGCACATATAGTAAGCACATGCTTTTAGAAAGGGAATAGAGATTTCTGGGAGAGAGCAAAGAGAGAAGGGGAGGTAAAGAAGTGTTAGCTGCAGTTATGTTACTTTCTCCTTCCAACTGCATTTTAATTGTACAAAATGTTTTATTGCCGTGGTGCACACGCTAAAAGCTTCCTTCACACATCGCATGCTTATTTACCACTGATAAACTCTGCTTCCTCGTGGAAACTACTTCTCACTTCTGCTTCAGTAGCTTCTGACATAGTGTAGCCGAGGCTTTGAAACACTCTCTCACTTTCCTGCCAAGTCTTCTGAAAATTTCTTAAAAGATCTTCTGGTGAATCGGGAGCAGAAATATCTAAGATATGCCCTGAGATTACATCTTCGTAGGTTGGAGGTGCCCGTTTGAAGCCAAATCCTGACTTAGTCCCATCTGTGCTCTGGGCGGTGGAGGTTGCGGTTCTAGATTCAGTGACCATGTTCTCAAAAGACTCCATGCCATAGGAGCATTCCATGGGGGACTTCACATCAAAGCACGCCCTGGGTTCACAAGAATGCTCTTTAATGGCACGCTGGTTTTGCTTCTTAGAGTCGGTTTCCTTTGATTCTCTTTGATGCTTTCCAGGAGATTTTTGGAAATTATTTATTGTGTTGACTTGCTCTTGGGAAGTTTGGCTAAGTCGTCCCTTTCTCGACCTACACCTCACTTCCTTTGACTTGTCACTCATTGTACCATTTTCAATGTATTTGTTCTTGGATTTTCCCTCACTTAATGTCTGATCATTGAAAGTCTGTGACATTGTATCTGTTTTATATTCACTGCCAAATGTTTCAGGTAGGTCTGGCTCCTTCCTTATGTGAATCACCTGGTCAGATGCTTCATACCTATGCCTAAGCCCTTTAGGACCAGCCTTAGGTACCTCAAAGCAATGTGCAATGGAAATAGAACCTACACTTTGTCCATGGGGCTCTTCTGGAATGCTCCCACCCTTTTGAGAGATGTACATTTGATTTACTTGGGATTCTTCATGCATTTCGTGGACTTTCTTCACTGCCTCTGCAGTTACATGTGTGTCATTTGCAAATGGTACTTTGCAAACGTCAGGTTGACGTGTATCAATCTTGATTTGCCGACGGAGGGTTGCAGGAGATTTAACAATCTCTGACCTTTTCTCCACAAAAGGAATTGGAGTTACTGATCTATTTGGGATTGCCCCTTGAGATAGTTTTACTGTAGTGTCTTTAAGTTTTGCAAGCTGCTCAGAACGGGCAGATGACTGTTGTATCTTAGATGTTGGGGTAGTAGATCTTGGTGGGGGTGATGGTGGAACTGGAGGGCTTTCTCTTTGGACTGGAGATAATAAATCCCTGAAAGGAGATTCAATACATCTAGATTCAATTGTGATGTAAGTAGGTGAAGGTGCTCGAGTTCTTAGAGATGGTGAAGAAGTTCTGATTTCTGAAAATCTGTTTTCGTTGACTTTCTCTTTTACTTTTTCGTGTACCATGGTATCTTTGGACATTTCTTTAGTCTTCTGTGAATCTTTTCTGCTGGATCCAATAGTCACTTTAGCTATTTTCTGTTTTGATCCTCCAGTGCTATGAACATTTTTTTTACATTTCAGGGAATTTGTTGAAATCATGGCTGCTTGGATTGCATCTTCACATGAGTGAAGTATTTTGGAGGCTTGATCTTTAATAACCAACAACTCTTCTCTCATCTTTTCAACACTGTCTTCCTGTGCAATGTAACTTAAGTCTTGCTTCTTTTCTTGTTCTACCAGCCATTCTGGAATAACACTTAAGAACACCTGGAATGTTTTCATCCCATTTTTACTTGGTTCCATCTCAAATTCTTTCAATCTGGACAACAGCTGTTGTATCTCCTCCCGTTTCCTCAACAATTCTAATATGTCTACTGAGTTTTTCTCACTTTTCTGCAGGGATCCTCTTGATAAACTAGATGGTAGCATTTTTTCTTGCACAAGCTGTTTTTTTGGCTCTGGTGTTTTATGAGGGCTTTTTTTCTGTTCTGGGGTAATTTCCAAGATATATTCTCCCTGTCCTTGTAGATTATTTTTTTCCTGAGACAGGTTTTTATTCTGAACATTTGTCTCCAAAACAAAAGTTGGTTCTGGTTTAGAATGCACAGTCTGAAATTTGTTATGTATATTGATTATTTTTTGCTTAACCATTTTTTCTGATTTACTGCTAGCCGATTGTTCTTTTCTTTGAATTATTCCTTTCTCTTCTTTGAGGTTAGCAATTACCTGGCTTTCCTTTCCTTCCATAGCTAAAGAATGTTTTTCTTGTTTCATGTTGTCCTTCTCCGTTTCCTTTCTTTGAATTAATCTCTGTTTCATTCCACTGGATTCTTTATCCCCTATTTCTTGTCTGCCTTCTGTGTATTTATAAAGTGTTTTTTCCATGTGGGTTTTCCCATCCATTTTCATACAATTACCTGCAGCGCTTTTCTTACTTATCTTTTCTTTCTGTTTTTCTTGAACTGGTTGCTTCAGAACCCCATGCACACTTGATCCCTCTTGCTTTTTATAAATCGTGGAATCCCTCTGGTCTTTAGGTAAGGTGTGATCACAAGCGGGATCCTGGATGGTTCTAACTTTGAAAGAAGGGCATACCGCTTTATTACTTGACACATGCAACTGTTCTTTTTGGTGCTGCTCTTTCTTGCTTATTACATGTTCTTGGTGGGTCTGTGCTTTTTCAGAAGATACACTCTGTTTTATAAGATGTTGTGATTCATGGACTGCTTTTTTCCTGAGGTGTTCTTCTGCCGAGCACTTTGAAACGTTTTGAGACTGTTCAGCCATTGATTGTTTTGCTAAGGGCTGTAGGTCATCAGCCTCTGAGTTGGTGACTTGAGGCTTTCTTTGGCATTCAGGCTCAGTAGGTGTAGCTGGAACTTCAGAGGGCAACGACCGAGTGATTTCATCCTGTTTATATGATTTTGGCACTGGCAGGCCACCTTCTGACTCTGCCTGAGCTAATCTCCCCCATGTTTCACTGTTCCTTCTTACATGTAGTTGACAAACATCCTTGGCTTGTTTTTGTTCCATCTGTTCCTTTTGCAGTTTGTATTTTTCTTCTGCAATCATTAAGGGAGTTTTAAATTTCCGTACATTAGGCTTAGGTGATGCTTGTGTTGCCTCTGCTGGAAGAGAAGGAGACCTAAAATGTGGAAATGTCTTATTTGATGGTGACACTTCCAGACCGATAGTTTCCGTAACTGAGCATTCTGTCCTTTCTTCCATGGTATTTGCCTTATCAACCTCTTTGGGCATCTGAATAATCCTTGGTTGCATTTTTCTAGAAGCTTTGCACTGCCTCGCTTCTAATTCTTTTATAACTTCCGTCTGAAGATGTTTTGTGTTGTATGGGATCTTGTCCTGAGATTGAACTGATTTGTCTAGGCTTTTGAAGAAATGATCTTTCGGCTGAGGGAGAGGTGGGGGAGGCAGATGAGATGTCAATTCATCGTCATATTTCTCTTCTGTAGTGGGCGGTGGAGGAGGAAAACTCTCATGCTCTGTCTTAACCCCTTCATTTGATGGTGATGGTGGAGAAGGAAATCTCTGTCTATTACAAGGCATCAATAAATGAGGGGGTGGGGGCGGCAAAGGAAAGTCAACTTCAGATGAAGTCAGTGGAAGTGTAGGTGGAGGTGGTGGTGGAGGAGGTGGTGGAGAATCAATTTCTGACCTATCAGAGCCTTTAGGATTCCTGTATGGATTCCCAGGATTTTTCACCTGAACCCTCAAGTCTTCATCAGCACCTTCAACTTTAGATTTTCCTGAGTACTTCAAAATGGATTTCTCACTCCACTTTTGCTTCCTTTCAGCTTCTTTAAATTGCTTGTGTATTTCCTGTGTGACTCTGACTTTTTGATTGGTTTTTACATTCTGCTCTGATGCCATGGAAACCTGAGCTTGGCTTGCCATAACATTATTTTTCTTCCCTCTGCAAACCTCCTTTGAATGCTGAGATTGCTTTCTGTCTTGTTGCACCTCTTTTGTTTCAAGATGACCAGCTGCTTTGGAAATCAGGCCAGTTGACTGGTTGATCAGTTGTTCCGGGGTCCCTCTGTAATTGAAGCTCTGGTGATCCCATGTTGGCTGGACTGATTTTGCTTTCGTCTCACCCTGACTTCTCACATCAACATATTTTTCATCTTTATATTCATGAAAGATGTTTTGTTTCTTTCCCGTCATTTGTTTTGCAGCCTGCATGTCATTGGTTGAATGGCCCTTCATCAAGATTCTGCTTGCCTCTGATTTCTCTGATCTTTCATTCTTCTCAGCGTTATTACAAAAAGTAGATTGATCAATCACATACTGATCTCTGTGTCTCTTTGCTGTGACTTTATCTACAGACGTATCTGCTTTTTCGGTGACTTTGTGCTGAGATTTAGATAAGGCCTTCATATTTTTTTTCTCCATCTCATGGCTCTTGGTGTTCCATCTCTGATCCAAATGGATTGCTTTGGCATCTTCTATGAGAAAACTCTTCTTTTGGGACATCGCTTCCTTCTGAAGAAATGTATTATTGCTTTTTAAGCGTTCAGTTGGATTGACTTTATTCTGAACTAATTGTTGAGATGGCTTCATCAGCATTTCATTACTTTGTTTTGCCTCTGCCTCTGTGAATCTTTGGCATTGCCTTGATTTTGTTTTTTCAGAGGTATCCAGCAAGCTCTCTATAGCAGTTTGAGTATTGCCTCTGACTACTTCTTTGTCTGTTTCCTTGGAAGATTGCTGAACTGCTTTTAAAGATCTTAGTGTAGTTTCAAGGTCATTTTGGACAACCTCTTCTCTTAAGACTTCATTTTTTGTTTCTATTGCTTTCTCCAGAGATTCAATGGTCTGTTTAATATCACCAGGAATAATGACCTCTGGTTTTTCTGTTTCTCTTGGTTGATAAACTGATTCTTGAAGAGACTTCAAAATTGCATGGATGTCAGCTTTTGCAATTTCTTCCTTCTCTGCAACAGCGGTCTGATTAATAGCCTGACTTAAAGAATTTAAAGTTGTCTTCAGATCACCTTTTATAATTTCTTCTTGGTCTACATGACAAGATGTATTTTGTGCCTCAGTCGTAAAGATCTTAAGGGCATTACAGACATCACCAGGAATTATGTCAGCTTCATTAACTGTCCGCTGTATTTGAGACTTCTTTTTCTTTAGTAATAATTTAGTGCCTTCAACATCTCCACCCATTATTTCCTCTTCCTCATCTTGATTTTTGCTTGCAAATGTTTCATTTGTCTCTGACTGGAGTAATTTCAAACAGTCCAAAGCTCCAGCTTCTATGCAAGTTGTAAAAAACTGAACATTGCCCCTTTCTGAATCATCTATTTTAGGTCTTTCTGATATTTCATGATTCATCACAGAAGAGAGAAGACTGTGAATTGTACGCTTTACATCACCGCCCATAACTTCACCTTGTTCAACTTTATTGCTTTCTTTTTTGTGGAAGAGAGAATAGATTGTCATATTAATATCCCCCCTTTCGCTTTCCTGAATTAAAATCCCACGTTTTACAGAACGATCCTTATTAAACAGTTTTTTAATGGCTTGCTGTATATCACCTCTCACTACCTCTTCTTTTTCAACACGCACAGCTGTTGAGCTATTCATCAGTTGCTTTTTGGTCAAATTTACGTTGCCTTTTTCATCTTCATTTACTTTAGTTTCTCTTTCCAGAGAACTTTGTTTGGACAGGAGGTTAATCATGATGCTGGCTAAGTCTCCTTTAATAATCTCTTCCTTTTGTATTTCAGGAGCTTCCTGATTCATCAACTTATATTTTGCCATGCGGACATCTCCAATTTCATCTGCCTCCAAGATAATTCCATGAGTTTCTACCACTTTCTGTGAATAAAGTTCCTTTAAAGTTTCTTTCACACTTTTTCCTACAATTTCTTCCTTTTCAATTCTACTTTCATTAAATTCATGGAAAGGTGTGGTTTCAAAAAGCCACGTGGTGGTTTTCACGTCAGCCTGTGGAATTTCCTCCTTATCTATTTTTGTATCAGTTTCCTCATTTTCCTTAATGGAATCCAGAGGCTGGTTTTCAAAGAGCCATACTGCATGCTGAACATCCCCCTCCTGAACTTCTTCCCTCGTTACTGTCTGGATGTCTTTATATTCTGAATCTTCCCCTCTAATTTCATCAATAGTGTGTGTTTCAAATAGCCAAGTACATGTTTTCACATTGCCTTGTTGTATTTCGCTGACATTCACTGTTCTTACATACTTGTCTCCCTGGGTTTCTTCGGATTCAAATAATTTCTTGTTGGCTTTCACATTGCCACCCTGGACACTGTTAACGGTGGGAACAATGAACTTCTCCTCATCTGAAATCATATCCAATGACTGTGTTTCAAATCGGTACCTAACTGAGCTAACATTTCCTTTCTGGATATCTTCCTGGGTGACTGATTTTATAACATACACATTTTCAGACTTGTTTATTGAGCCTAAAGGCTTCGTTTCAAATAGCCACCGGGTTCCACGTACATCTCCATGGATAACTTCTTCCTTCCTAACTGTAGTCACTTCGTGATAATATCCTTCTGTGTCCTGAATTGCATAAAGTGGCTGGGTCTCAAAAAGCATTTTGTAGCTTTTCACGTCCCCCTTTGTTATTTCTTCTTGGTTTATGGTTTTCTTGATACTTTCATCCACGGATTCTTCATCTTTAATCTGGTCCAGAGAAAACGTCTCGAAGATGAAACAACCATTTTTCACATGCCCATCTTGTACATCTGTAATAGTTTGGGCAGAGGTCCTTTCTTCTTTGTCCTCTGAAATCTCACCTAGGGACCGATTCTCGAAAAGCCAACAACAATGCAAAACATTTCCTTTTTGTATATCTTCACTTTGTATGGTTTTAATTTTGTTCAGAACTTCTTCTGAGTTGATACTGAGTGAGTCTAATGGTTGCGTCTCAAATTTATATTTCATGGTAGAGACATCACCAGGCTGGATATCAATTTCCACAATTTGCTTGAGTTCTTTGTCTTCCTCTCCTTGTATATTTTCTAGCTTTTCCGTCTCAAAAAGGAAACACGCTGTGCGGACATCACTGCCTTGAATATCCTCTTGCTCAACTGTGTGTAGCTTATTAGCTGTTTCTGATTCTACCCCTATTGCATCAAGAGATTGTGTTTCAAATAGCAAGGTACATGTTTTCACATCTCCTCTCTGCATTTCATCAGTGTTTGTTACTGTTGTCTCTTTCTCATACAGAGATTCCATTGGCTGAGTTTCAAATAACCACTTGCACATCCTGACATCCCCTTTGACCACTTCCGTAGCCTCCGTCTGTGGCTTGCTTTCTTCCTCTTCTACATTGCTAAAATATTTAATGGAGTCTAGAGGCTGCGTTTCAAACAGCCATTTTGCTGTTTTCACATCACCCGACTGTACTTCTTTGGAGGTTATCCCTTTGATAATCTCAATTTTCTCAATACTCTCATCAAACTGGTCGATAGGTCTTGTTTCAAAAAGCCACCTGCAGTTTCTGACATCACCTTGGATCACCTCTTCTTGACGAATTGTTTTAACTTTATGATATTTCCCAAGATTATCCTGGATAGCGTATAATGGGGTAGTTTCGAAAATGTCTTTATTAAATTTTACGGCACCTCTTGTTACGCCTTCAGCCTGGATTTTGTTTGAGTCATTATGTTTGCTTAAGCAACACGTTTCAAATGCCTGCTTACAGCTGCTCACATCTCCCTTGTCAATTTCCTCCAGTTTCACCGTTCTTATGAATTCTTTTCTCTCTTCTCTAATCAGTTCAAGAGGTTTCGTCTCAAAAATCCATTTCTGATGCTTCACATCGCCTTTCTCTTCCTCAGTTGCAACCATTTTTTGAAGTTTTTCAACATCTGGGCTGTCTTTTAACATATCCATGGGCAATGTTTCAAATAGGTGTTTAGTAGCATTTACATCTCCTCCGATTATTTCTACGGCGGGGAAAACATTTGTGTTTTCATTTTCTTTTAAGGTATCCAGAGGCTGAGTCTCAAACAGCCAACATTTTCTGCAGACATCAGTGCCCAGAACAATCTCTTTTTCTCCAGCAGATTCCTCAGACTCTTTAATAGTGTCTAAAGGCTGGGTTTCAAATAACCATTTTGCCCTGCTCACTTCACCTTTAATGTTTTCTTCCATGGAAATTCCATGGACAACTTTGATTTCCACCGCCTCTTTGTTGATAACATCGAGAGGCTGAGTTTCAAACATCCAACGGACTGTTTTGACATCTCCTTTCTCAAGATCTTCTCTGTGGACTGTTTTAATTTCTAGCATTTGACCTAAATTGTTTCTAATAACATACAGCGGTAATGTTTCAAAATGCCTTATGCTTCTCTTTACGTCACCTTTAATCTCCTTTAGTTCTGATCTGAGCTGCAACAGCTTAGCTTCATCCACTGAATATAGCTGCCCAAGACTATCCAAGTTCTGTGTTTCAAACATATATTTCACTGTTTTGACATCTCCACCGGTGATTTCGTTGACCAAATTTTCATTTGATTCTTCTTCTTCCTGCTCGTGGTGAATTTTATTCATTGAATCCAGTGGCTGAGTTTCAAACATCCATGTGGCTGTGCGGACATCTCCTCGGGCCAGGTCTGGTATTCGATCTGCTGTTCCTGCATCATCTGAAAAATTTGCACTCAGTGCATCTATGGGTTGTGTTTCAAACATCCAGGTAGTATACTTAACATCTCCTCCCGCAATTATTTCTTGACCTGCAATGCTTTTAACATTGTTTTGGTCGGGAGATTCATCTTTTATTGAATCCAGGGGCTGGTTTTCAAAAATCCACTTCATAGATTGGACCTCTCCCTTTAGGATCTCATCCCATTCTAAATATTCTCTTTCTGGGCTCATGCTTTTTTGAGGGCTGCTTTCTCTGTTTTCAAAGACTTGTTTAGCCTGAAGTACATCTCCTACAACTGAGGTATCCATTTCAGTGTTGCTACCAGAGACTATATCAGAAATTTCCTTGAAGTAATCTTTTTCTAAATTCTTTCTTAATTCAGGGTGAATGTGTTTGTATAAACGGTTTAATTCATAAAGATTTCTTTGCCTGGAATATAAATCTTTGGGAAGAACTTGCTTAGATGGAGAGAGAGGGGGGTCAGGGGACTGGGAAAACTCTGTCATTTCAGAGGGAACCTGTAGTAAATCTGGTGATGGTGGAGGGGGAAATTCCTCTGTACTGCCATACTTTGGAAACTTGTTATAGGCTGGAGTTGAGGCAGCAGTCGTGTGCTCTGTTTTCCTTGCCATATACGTTCCCTGTTCTCTACTCGTAGAAGTAGCTTCAGCAGAAGAATGAAAATTTGCAGAAGGCCACACCATTTCTTGATACCCGTTTTCAATCTTTAGAAGAAAAAATAATATACCTTTAAATTTATTTTCAGAGGATACTTTTAGATTTCTAACATATAGTTGACTCAGTGCTATAATGAGCTAATCAACCAGAGTTTGGACATAGCTTTTGCAAAATATCCTTCAGTATGAGGCATCAAGTTGATTTCACATATTCTATGATCCATACATGATCTGACTCACCTGAAACTATAGCAGTATGAGAAATCTACACCAGATTGTGCAGAAACTAGTTTTAGATAATATTATTCTCTGTTTTTAATCTCACAGTAAGAAATGTAGCAGTCATGGGCCTACACTTTTTTTTAATGAGAACTGGAAAGTAACAGGATACAAAGTAAACTAGCAAGGAAAAGATTTTAGCAAAACAGAAAAATATTTTAAAGCACAATAGTCTACTTATAGATTGGAATAGATCAAAGTCTATGCTTAAGACAGAGAGGGAAGGTACTAGCCCATTGGCTCCAAAGACTGTGCTCAAGGACCCCAGTATTGGCACAATGAAGTAAGAGTGGATGGACAATTCAAAGAATGTCATGGAACAGTTCAAACTCTGTCACGGTGTGTCTAAATTCCCAGCATTCTTGGGTTCTCAGAAATCAAAAGTAAGCTTGTCTCATCAGATCTCACTACTATGTTGTACAGTCAATGTGCAATATTTCAGCCACAGGTAATCCTCAACTTACAACCATCCATTTTGTGACCATTCAAAGTTACAACAGCACTGTGACTTACGTGTGGTCTTTGTGCTTATGACTATCGCGATATCCCTATGCTCAAGTGCTAAAAATTCAGGCACTTGGCAAACTGACATGTATGATTGCATCATGGCATGATTGTGTCATCCTGAGGTCATGTGATCGTCCTATGCAACCTTCCCAAATGGCTTCAGACAAGCCAAGTCAATGGAGAAAGTCAGATTTCCTTAATGGTTGTGCAATCCACTTAACAACTACAGTGAACTACACTTAACAACCATGGTGAAAAAGATTATAAAATTGGGCACAACTCAACAACCACCTTGTTTAGCAATGGCTTCAATTCTAGTCATAAGTTGAGGGCTATCTGAATTGCCCAATTTCAACTTCCCACAAACCCTGTTGGTGAGAGATGCTGGAAGTTCAGGCCACATTCTGGAAGGCCCACTTCGGTAGTAAAGTCTTGGCGGGAAGAACAGTTGCTAATCCCTCTCTGTCTTGCGAGAAATTAAATAACAGCTTTATTGATTCATTTGTTCACTAAAAACTGCCTTCTAACTATTATATAAATACATTTTATATATTTTATCCTAATTTACCGTTACAGTTACTCAAAAATAAAGTTTTGCTTCCTGATCAGAGTGGCAACAATTCATTATTTGCTAAATTCCTCTTGCCCCATCTCTGACCTTGATCTGCTTTGGAGCTGTTCCATTTTCTCGTCCAGAATGAAATGTCTTTCCTTGGGTTGTTTTCTCAAAGTGCTGCTTCAAACATTGTGTAGAGATCTTTGGAATATCCTCTTTCACAGATGCATTGACTCCTAGGACATGACAAGAAAACCAAATGGGTTTTTAAAATAGTCAGTTGAATTAGGGTTAGTCACCCTGGGGATGCTTTGTGTTCTTCTGAAGTTAGACTTTCCTTCCTATCCCGTGTGTCCTCAGGCCTCTACTTGTGTTCCACAATAGACCAATGTTTGAAAAATAATTCATCATGCAGCATGAAAAAAAAATGATCAAAAAGCACAGCTCAAAAGTCTCTATCTTCCCTCTCTTCAAGAGAGAAAGTGCTTTAAAGACTGTGCAGAATTCTGCAATATGTTTGATTGAAATATATTTATTCAATCCATTGCAATACTAAAACCTAACTAAAGGTCTTATACTAATACCAAACCTCCTGCAAAGGAAGCTCACATCTTGGCTCTAATGATTATGTACATTAATCTATAAAAACGAGGCTGAAGGAACTGTGTTCTTATAAGGATAAGGGGTATGTTTGATGGACCTTTAAGGCAGTGGTTCTCAACCTTTTTAATGCCACGACCCCCAACCGGTCGTAAGTCGAGGACTACTCAACCGGTCGTAAGTCGAGGACTACTCAACTGGTGCAGCACCGTTTGCAGAATGGGACTTTTGGCGGGCTCAGCAGGGCAGAGACAGCCTCGACAATTCCTATTGGCTTTTGAAAGCCAATAGAATTAGACTATTCAAGAGAGTCTATCATAAAAAGGAGTAGCACAGCTAAGGAAAAGGGGGAAAAAAAATGGCGGACTGCGTTGTTTGGCGACCCCCATGAAATGGTCGTTCGACCCCAAATGGGGTCCCGACCCACAGGTTGAGAACCACTGCTTTAAGGTAAGCCTAGTCTTGTCATTCTTAATATTTGTATGTAATATAATGGGCAGAAAAAACTTCCTTAAGTGCCCTTCAGATGTTCTGGACCAACTTTGAGCATTTTCTGCTGTAATATTTGTCTATATGCAAGGGGAATTTGTGATTTTTAAATGTTACAATGGCACCTGCATATTATAGAACTCCTGTTTAACATTGTGATAACAATTTCTATTATCATTAAATGCTTCTCAGTTGTTCAATACACATATCTGATACAAAAAAAGGGAAAAAAAAGAATTTGCTTAAACTGGTGAAAGTTAACTGTGTTTCCTTTGAAGATTGTCTAGCAAACAATATGCTTAAAACAGAGTCACACAGAGTGGTAAGCCTTGTGCTTTGTTTGTTTTTGAGCTTAGCAATGAAGTGTGAACTGACCCATTATGGCTTAGCATTCTGTGCAAATTGGTTCACAGTCCTTGTCTAACAAACAATAAAAGCATGGCTTAGAATTATGTATGTTCTGAGCCAAGGTGAATTATACTGATGTCTTTATTCGTCTAACAGTTATCTCAATCTCAAGCTGTGTCTTAGCTCCCTGTTTAATGTTTTACTTCTACCTCCATTTAATTTCCTGTATTCCTCATGGAAATAGCTGAAAACCATATTATTGCAACTCCAACAGCACGTAGGCATAGCACACTTAACTTATAATTGGTAACATTTACACACATTGCTCTTCACATCTGTAGGATATATGCATTGTTGAATAGAACAAGGCTAATAAATGGACAAAAATAAATATAAATGCCATTGAGTCAACCTTCATGGCATGATCTGTCTTGACGATTTAATGAAATTTCCAGTGTTTAACTTTGGGTCTATTTTGCAGCCAGCATATATGAATGGATTGTTGGGTGGGCTTCTTTTAATCCTTTAATCTTGTCTATTGTATGTTATATCTTACCTGTTTTATCAATATTTTGATTGATGGTAGAAGTTTTCTTGGCCTCCATAGAAGCTTGCCCCTGATGGGTAACCTGGACCAAAAAAATATGCCAGTGTCAAGAAAAATGAATACCTTTATCTTCCAAATTTCGTGTGACTCGGTGGGGGAGTGTACAAGTGTACATGCTTTATGATGTGAATAATAAGATTCATCTCCCATCAAGAGTTTTCTACAGTCAGAAATCAGCAGATCAAATGTCAGCTCTGCTACAAATTCATAAAATCCCAATCCTCTCCATTTAAATGCATATACCTATTTTGAAAATACATAACATGATTTTTTTTAAAAAAACTGCCTCACCAAACCCTCTTGACGCTGATGGATTCAGTAATGCTGAATGGATTGGCCCAGTGAACCATATTTTTTTCTCCTTCATCCAGGAGTTAGGAGGCTAAAAGGTGCATGAGTGCCAGAGCTGGGATTTGTGGAGACATTAAGTACCTCCCCACAACCCTTTCTTCATATTTTAAGCCTGAGTTCTTTGCTACCTTTATGATCCAATTATACCAGACAATTTCATAGCTGCACTGAGAAAATTAACATTCACATTAATCTGACTGGCATGCCAGTAACTGAGAGACCCAACATTTTTGATCAGATGTCCTCGCCTGGCCTTTGAGAAGAATACTAAGGACCTTGTTCCAAAGAGCTGATAAAGCAGGGCAAAGAAATTTGAGAAGCCTGGATAAAGATCTATTGGCTTTGTTTTCACTGACATTTAAACATATGCAAAACTTTGTATTAACTGTACTTAATTACTTTCTGTGTAATTAATGTTTCCCCCTTCTGTTAAAAATGTCAAGTGGAAACCTTTGGAAGGGTTACATTCCAGGCTTCAGGGGTTGTGTGCAGGAAGAATTCTGTTTTCAGTTAATGCAGCAGAAGGACAGTTTTGTACCACAAGGGAGTCCAAAAGAGTTGAGGTGGCAACCACAGGTGTGCAATCAATACCCTGTCATTTTTTAAGTATAGGTCACATGAATGTTTTGTCTGCATGATTGTAACCACCATCTTGGCTCTTTTAACTCCCTTCCTGTGGTTACCATTCATTCATTCATTCATTCATTCATTCATTTATTATTTTTACAAATAACTCAAGGCAATAAACATGTCCAATATACTTCCTCCTCCTCCTATTTTCCCCACTACAACAACTCTGTGAGGTGAGTTGGACTTAGGGAGAGAAACTGGCCCAAAGTCACCTAGCTGGCTTTTATGGCTAAGGCTCAGCACCTGCCTTTTCCTTATAGGGATTGTTCCCTTTTCATTAGCCTTTGTGCCTTTGCTTTTCAAGATGTCTGCATATAAGGATGCCTTCATGTTCTCTAGTCGCATTGTCTTCTTTGACACTAAGACTGGACCTTCCTTCCTTCCTTCCTTCCTTCCTTCCTTCCTTCCTTCCTTCCTTCCTTCCTTCCTTCCTTCCTTCCTTTCCTTCCTTTCCTTCCCCTTCCTTCCTTCCTTCTTTCTTTCTTTCTTTCTTTCTTTCTTTCTTTCTTTCTTTCTTTCTTTCTTTCTTTCTTTCGCTTTTAGTGTCATCAGAACTCCAGGGATGCAGTAATCAAAGCAATGGGGAAAAAAATGTTCTTTCCTTCCTCCCTTCCTTGTTAAGTCCAAGGAAACTTTGTATTAAGGAAGAACTGTTGGTTCAGTTTCACAGAAGCCAAGTAACTATGATCCTACATTGCAACTGAAAGACATTAAAACAATGTTCTTGATTTAGGATTATAATCTCAATCACATGACTCTGGATGGCTAACAATATTTAAAGACAGAATTAAAACAATGCAATAAAATATATTAAAAACCTCTCCAGTTATAGCAAAAGCCAGTATCCTTAGATTTCCACTCCTGTCTCCCAGGCTAGACATCAATTCTCATATACGCTCCTTTGATCTGCATTAAGACAATTTGCACTTTTAATTTTTCACCTCCTGCCCCAAATTTAATTATGCGCCTTTGAATTAGGAAGAACAGTCTATCGTCTTTCCAGGAATCTACTGCTTTTTAAGTGAACATCTAGGTCCAGTCAGATACAATAAAACCTTGAATTCTGCCTTGATTTCTACTGGCAGCACTCGCTATCCTCTAGGGAAGAAAAAAGAAAGAAGATCTGTTATAACCTGAAATTCAGAATGTGTTTGTGTCTTTGATCATTTTATGTCTCCATGGAAAACGAAGGAAGGTTCAGAAAGAGGGTTTGAGTAGGTGGAAATGAGAAAGAAAGAAAACGCCTGGAAAATGGGGGCGAGGAGGGGAGAGAAAAACATTTAGGAGAACAATGCAACAAAAATAGATTTATAGCTTTCTGTTGTGAATAGAACCAAGATTTTGAATAATTGTTTATGAAAGCGTATAGAGGCCATGCACAAAATAATGCTTCAAGAAGAAAAATGGTCAATGTAAGATTGTTAAAAGGTTCTGTACAGCACTTGTTTCCTTAGAATAAATCTCAGTGTGCCCAGCATGGATTTGTGACTCCTTAACTAGTGTGATTGTGATTTCAGGATCAATGACTGAGCTGTGCTTGGAAGGCTTGTCTTAGACAGTTCATAAATGCAATACTGCAAATGTATTGCAGCAGCAGCTGCTGCTGCTGTTAGTACTACTGCTAAAATACAATTTATCGTAAATGGCAAGTTTCTAGTAGAAGTATACTTTCATTTACATTTGGGTCCAGATTTTGGATCAGTGTTTTTTTTTTATTCACTGGTACTGTAATGAGGGGATTATCACTACAACTGCCATTTTATATTTATAAGGTTGACTTCAATTTATAAAGGTGAAAGCCTAAGGGGATGGGCAAAAAAACAATTCAGGTCAATGAAGAAAAACAAGGTGTTGTTAGAAAGGGGAGAGAGGGAAAAGATTAAACATTATTCTGTCATCTTTCCTGCATTTCTGACAAGTGCTGTTTTCCAGGAAAAAAAAACAACTCCCTATATTTTCTTACAATATTGTCATGAGATATTAAAATTTGTTTAATGGTATTTTTGACTCTACTTTGTTGTTGTGCAATGGCAGTGGATGATTCTTCCCTCCCTCCCTCCCTCCCTCCCTCCCTCCCTCCCTTCCTTCCAATATGTTCCTCTACAAACTCTCTGGCTGCCCAGTTTGCCTGAACTGAAAAGTCCTTACAAGAGAAGTTTTCTCTTGCTGTCTTCCTTGGGTTTTATTGGAATTGTGAGGCCATTAAACTATTTAAGAAATGATTGTAAAGTGAACTGCAGGAGACTCGCTTCTACGCCTCCTGAAAGGAACTGGAACAACCTTTACCCTCTGCATGGAATTTCACCCATTTTTTTTTTTTTTAGAGAAAAAAAATGAAATACAAATTATTTTCAACCAAACAGAAAAAGAACAGTTTAAAAATGCAGACAGGAGTTTCAGTGGCATTATCATGGTTTGCTATCAAGCCAGAAGGCTGTTCTACGTATAAGCAAGAACATCATAGTGTAAATGGACTCTACATTTGCTTTGGCCAAATGACATAACTTTTATTAAATGCTACAGTTACCTTTTCTGATTGAAATGCTTCCAGCTGCATTCCTTTTGAGGTCGCTTCATTTATGCTGGTTTCTGTCCTTCTGCCAGACATCATGGTTTGACTCTGACTTGTCATCTTCTGCAAACAAATAAAAATAATTCCGCATTTTTCAACTTGGTAGTAAATTTTAATAAAATCCTAAGCCATCTTATTTTATTTTTCTTGAAAATGATTCTTCAGGGGCATATATACATGCAGAGACACACAAATACCCAATGCTGCTAGATTATAATTAACCATGTAATTGAAAGGGTAAAATATGTATGGAGGCACGAGTTGGAAGATGATAAAGATGGTAGTTTCATTATTACAAGGAAATTTTTCTTTTATTATTAGTGTAGTGTATGATATATACCAGAGAACATTGCAAACAGTGACCTGGGTTTTAATGCAAGCTTTATTGACAATTGTCAGACTCCTATCGCTGGCAAAGATGTGAACAGAATACATAGAAAAATGTAAACTTTCCATTGTTGAGGATGAGTTAAAGGTTCTGGGCACAGGTTGATTACATTTGTAAGTGGCTGCGTTCACACATTGCTCTAGGCCATTGTGTAGTTTGTAAACTGTTGGAATGGTGAAATTGCTAGGTTTGCATAACATACTAGGATAAAGGAAATAATTTGTGCCCAACTGAGTTAGTTTGTGATTTGCTACACCTTGCAAAATGAGACAACCAGCAAACAAAAGTTAATTATGAGCTTGTATATCCGGAAAATATAGCCAATGTGTGAACAAAGTGTGTGGATTATCTGCACAGTTTTAGTCTGTAAATCTTATGTGTTGTGTTGCCAGAAGAGGCAATGCCAGGCCCATTTCCAATGATGCAACGCAATTTTGCAGTTGCTTGTTTCATAATGTGAATCGCAGCAGTATGCAAAGCTTTGCCATCAATACAAATTAAGCATTATGGCTCCCTGAATTTTGCAGGGTTTTTAAACACATTTCAGAAATTCCTTTCACTCCTGGCTCCAGGTGCTCCCTAAAATATGAATTTGAGCCTTTAAAAAAAGAATACAGACGGACCTTGAACAGTGGTATCATCAGTTTGGTTGGAAGCAGGATCTGGGGACTATACAATATGTGCAAGGAGGAAGAAGAGATAGCAGAGCAATTGCAGTTAGTAAAAAAAAAAAAAAAGACTGTCTGCAAAGAAGGAAGGAAAAACTGTAGGCATTTCGGTCAGAATTTAGCCCAGTCCTGCTGAGTCCAGTTCCTTTCTGGGCCTTAGCAAGCAGCATTGCTCTCTTCTCTCCCATAAAACCAGGGCACATTGCCTGGTATAACTACCAATTCAGGGATTCAGCCAGCTGCCTGCCACTTGGTTTCACATGCCCCTTCATCGTTTTTGCAGCTACACTGAAGTGATTAAGCTTCTGTCGAGCAAGTATTCCAAGAGTAGGCTGAGTTGTATATTATCCTATTCTTAGGCTCAAATAGACTTTTGGCTACTAATTGTTGCTTCTCTTTTCTTCATTCCACTAAGTGGAATGGCAAGGAAAGAATGATCTGTGGAACCCTCTAATATAACATACAAGAAACTCCTTCTAAATTTTCTATAACTGGAGCAAGAGTTTTTATGAAGTTTAGATCCTTTCCCGGCCCTATACAGGTAATCAGTAGTGGGATTCAGCCAGTTCGCACCAGTTTGGCAGAACCAGTAGCTAAATTTTGTTGAGTTTGGAGAACCAGTTGAATGCACACTGCTTCCGGAAATCTGTTCTAGGCCTGGGAGGCCTAGAGAAGGCCTCCCAGGCCTAGAACGGCCTGCCAGAAGTGTGTGGGTGCCACTTGGGCCTTCAACCTACAACCACAATTGAGCCCAAAATTTCTGTTGCTAAGTGAGACATTTGTTAAGTGAGTTTTGCCCATTTTATGACTTTTCTTGCCGCATTTGTTAAGTGAATCACTGCAGTTGTTAAATTAATAACATGGTTGATAAGTGAATCTGGCTTCCCCGTTGACTTTGCTTGTCAGAAGGTTACAAAAGGTGATCACATGACCCAAGGGCACTACAATCGTCTTAATGTGAGTCAATTGCCAAGCGTCTGAATTTTGATCACGTGATCATGGGGATGCTGCAATGGTCACAACGTGAAAAATGGTCATAAGTAACTTTTTTCAGTGCTGTTGTAACTTTGAACGGTCACTAAATGAACTGTCGTACATTAAGGACTACTTGTATAGAAATGAAGCCAGACTTTTCTGCAAGAAAAACATGGGTCCCACCACTGCACAAAAGCTATATTATTTTCCCCCAAATTGGAAATAGCCATTCCTCTACAAATACCTCTAACTCATAGCTTCAGTGTCTCACCTTATGTACTCTCTGACAATCAAAATAAATTTGCCCACCCAATTCATGCTTTAAATATATGGAGTGGCAGAAAATATTCAGCAAAGTGGCACTTAACTGGCACAAATTTAGCAGCAGCTGGATGGCTATCTGTCAGTAATACTGGGTGGCATTCTTGCCTTTCTGCATCCAGCACAATGTTAGGTTTGATCTTCTCCTTGTCTTTTCCAGCTCTATGACTCTTGGATGATGTAATAAGAGTCTCTCCCTCTAAGGCAGGGATGTCAAGCTCGCCATGTCATGTGATGTGTCATGATGTATCGCGACTTTTTCCCCCTTGCTGGAGCTGGGGTGGGCACGGCTTCCGCGTGACGCATCCCAGCAGTTTGACACCCCTGCTCTAAGGTCCAGCTGGGATTCACCTAGACAGGCCTTCCCTGAGCTGCAGAAGAGGAGGATTTTGCAATGCTATGAAGCAGTTTGGCACAACAAAACCCATTTACTTACAAGTATGCATGTAAAAACCCATTCAAGCTAAAAATGCTGTTTTTCCTTGTCCAAACGGTGAGAGAGTGTTAATTTTTCAGCCACTCTTCCTCTGCACAGCAGACACAGTGAAATCCTCCAAGCCTGCTCTACAAACTTGGCAGACTCTTTGGGAACAGATTTTGAGAAGGGGATGTTATGATGGCAAGGGGAAACCACCAAGTATCATTTTCCTCCCCATTTCACAGATGGATGGTTTTTATTGGCAGAGAGACACTTGCTGGTCACCATCCAATATGATAACAATAAGCAACAACCAAGCAGTCAGTTCATTTGCACTTTTCCTCCTAAAATTATTTACTACGTTAGGATTAGATTAAAGAAGATGCTTATGTCTATTAAAAATAGTTTGAACTCCAGCTATGTGTACATTTAGATCTTGTGTATGTTTTTTGAGCGTATGTTTTGATTTCAGTTTAGGGAAAAACAGCTTCCTCAGTGACAAAAATTGCTTCAGCCTGCTTGCTAATATCTTGGTCAATTGGATGTTTCCCTTTAGCATTTAAAAGACAGAATGAGTCCTGGAGGGGAAGAAGCTTAAATATTAGTTTTAGAACATTTTATATACCACCCTTCTCAAAAGACTTCATATGGTATCCAGCAAAATATATATATAAAAAAACAAAGAAAAATATAATATCCTTTAATAAACATAAAAGGTGTCCACAACTTCATTATGGGACAGTCTTAAAAACAAATTTCAGGTCTTCCTAACTAAATGGAGAGTTAGAATCAACTATACTTCTAGGGGTTAGCCGAAAATGCAAAGGGAAATACAAAAGATTGGCAGACTCTAGTAATAAAAGTCAAGGGGCACAGTGAAAAAAATGGAACTAAAATTAAATACAAAGAAGAGCAAACTCATGACAACAGATACAACAGTTGGCTTTGGGATTAACAATGAAAATACTGAAGTGATAGGTCAGTGGTGGCGAACCTATGGCACGCGTGCCAGAGGCGGCACGTGGAGCCCTCTCTGTGGGCATGCGCCATCGCCCCAGCACATATGGTCTCTAAAAGTTCGCCATCACTGGCCTAAGGCCAGTCAGCCTGGAGCTGCCATTGGGGGGGCCACCATCCCACCCACCAGAGACCCCCTGGATCTCCCCCAACCCTGCCCGTCTCCCACAGGTGTCCCTCCCCATAAGCAATATCAAGGTGGCCACGCTCACCCCGGCCATGCCCACCCAATCTGCCATGACTACTGCAGCCACACCCATCCAGTGGCCACACCCATGCAGTCTGCCAAGCCCACTGTAGCTGCACCCACCGAGTGGGCCACACCCACCCGGCACGCGGTGATACATAAGTGGGTTTTGGGTTGCAGTTTGGGCACTTGGTCTCTAAAAGGTTCGCCATCACTGTGATAGGTATTTTCTGCCTTTTAGGATGAACCATTAACAGTAAAGGAAGAGGCAGTCAAGAAATACTATCTACTGTATATGATCACTAACAGTCAACACTGACTTAATAAAACACAACCAATCAATCAACCAATTTTTTTGGGGGGAGGCGGCTATTAGCATATTCCCAAATTATAGGCTACTGTGAAGAAATAGATTTCTTGCATCTTCTGAATTTTCCACAGACCTCTTAATATCTGGACTGGACAAGCAGTATCATAGTGGTGTAGCAGTGTGTGTGTGTGTGTGTGTGTGTGTGTGTGTGTGTGTGTATACAGATATACATATACAGTACACACAGATAAGCACACATAGAGGCATGCATTGGATATAATAACTCCTTTCAGTGTGTGCACTCTTAAAAAAAACTTCACATATGATAATACTTGGATTATGGCAATAATGTACATTGAGAAAGCAATCAGACTGGCTACAAACAGAATCTATCAAATTCATATAAAATGGATAGCAACAGGGGGAAGAGTGAGTGAAATTATTTAGACAGCCCTTTTTTCATAAATGTAATTGTGAAACTGCTATTGTAAAGGAATTTTCATACAGAAACAGACACAGCAGAAAGCGAATACAGAAAAATCAAAGCAAGAATAGATGTTAAGAACTGTTCAAGATTGATTCTCTATATTTAGAATTGAGTGAAGCAGATTCATCTCTGAAAAGGAATAGAACGTAGGAAATCAGAAATAGTCATGAATTTCTGCCTGTCATTTGTTAAAATTATGAATTATATCAAATTAGGTCTTTTCCTAATTATAATTTCAGTATGTACTAATTAGTTTGCTATAGAATGGCGTCTGACAATAGTTCCTATGCTT